AATCATGTAGTAACTCAGAAGCACAATAAAAATTCTCAATCAAGTTATAATATAACCCTATACCCTATATATTGTCTTGTCAAGATAATAAAGTCAGAAAAGCTTTAAAAAAGTATCTTTTCAAATCAAGAAATTGGCACATATTGGATTAAATTTCTCATCCTACTTCCCAGTACATTTTCCTTCATAGAGTTTTAATTATGTGTGTCAATTATATTGTCAAGCGAGTTAGTCAAACATTCTCTGGTTTTAGTTTCTTCAGTTCAAGTCAGTGAAAGTTCTTTTGTCAAAATGTACAGTATATGAAAATAAACGAGGAGTCATTAGTACTCATTCTGTTCTGTCAGTTTGAAAAAATGGAAGTAATTTGACCTCATTTTGGACAACGAGACGTAATGTAAACCGTTTTACAAAAAGCATGAACCCAAGGATTAATCCTCAAATAATTGGCAAATATTCAGAAAATAATTGTTTGTAGCAGCCCTACTTAACAAATGTCTGACTTAGAACTTAACATTGCATTTTAAATAAATGTGTAGTTTGACAGGAGGCGTCCGTCTGTTTCCAGTAGCCGTGCCCCAACATGTGATGTGTGTATTTATGCTCTTTCTTTTTCACATAAAACGACATGTTTGTGAGATGAGATCAACTCAGAGGAATACTAAGATAGTTCTTTATCTGAAAACATTTTCATCTTTGTGTCCCTAAATGTGAACATACTCTTGACTGTTCGATTAGATTCAGGCAGGCTGTTGAGCACAACTAACATAGTTAACAAAACTATAACAGAGGCTTGGTTCTTATGTCCCAGTATGTTCTTTAACCAAAGTAAATGAGTCACCATAACTTAGCAGCAAATCTCTCTCTCTCTAACACACCCACAAACACCCAGAGACATTACAGTACATGTCACATGAAGCAGAGAGGAAGCTACAAGTCTACAAGGCAAGAGGAAGTGTGGCAGAGCTTTTGATTTGTCTCTGCTTGCACAGGAATGGCACCCTATTTAAAAACTTGCAAGCAAAGCTTGTTATTCTAAAAAGCTCTGTGCAAACGCGGCAGATTCTGTGGCCTGCTGGTTCAAAGGTAAACAGCCCATCTCTCAGCATTACAATCAAGCAAAGTCCCTTCCTGTTGGCTGGTTAAGGGAAGGTCACATTGACAGTCACACGACTGCCAGGCAGCGAGGTGAAAAGCAGGCACTTTAACGTTCCCACTGCAGTACAGCAAGAAAGTGTGCTCAGCCAACTGGAAAGTACTAGTACTAGATGGCACCGGGTTAGAAACAATTTAATTTTCTACAGCAAGACTGATGTGTTGAATTAAACTACAACAGATCAAAATCAAATTCCAGCATAGAAAATATCAATACTTTTAGAAATATATGGCAAAGTTTACATCTTAAGCGACGCTGGTGCTTCTCGAAGCAGACACAACGAAATGTTAATGAGTATACTCCAAGATACTGTATGTCTCCCATCTCTGGAGCACATGGAGTCAAGATGAAAAATAGTTGTTAGCAGGTGCATGACATAGAGAACAGTCATTGTGTGTCCACATGGAAATCAGATGTTGCAGATGTTATTTCACAACATCTGCGGATTATGAGAGCCACAGCACCCTTCTTCAAAACATCTGACACTAAGTCTTCTTCTAATTAAAACTATTTTTGATGCTCCTTAAGATTTTTTTATTTGCTTTGGTGTTTGTTCATAAAAACACAGATTCATAAGTAACTGTGAAAATGAACCAAAACTGTTTCCTAGCAACATAATGACGTGTGAGCATGGGGGGGGGGGGGGGGGGGGCATGTTAATAGACACATTCATGCTGGTGCTATTGTCTGAATCATCAAGAAGAACAAGAAAAGGAGAACTTATTTGGGGCGGTCAGTAATTCTTTTTAACAATACTGCCTCTGCCAAGACTTGTGTCCTCACTGTTTCTGTCACTGGTATAAGAGGAAAACAGCAGACTCATCTCTCAAGTTTAAAAAAAAAAAAAAAAAAAAAAAGAAGTTCATGGTGCTTCACTGCAGCTGTCCTTGACTAGCCTCCATGAATGATCCTCCCTGAACTCTAAAGAGCATGTCTACCAACGTGTCAAGGCAATGCAAGGTGTAACAACACAACACAGTGGCAACTGAAGGTGCAATAAATTATGGCATGAAATAACATTCACAAAAAAACAAAAAAAGAAAGAGGAACACAGAATAGAAGCAAAGATGAGCATGCAAACCATGGAAGATGATGGAGCCAAACATGATTAGTCTACTGCTCTTCATGACTGCTGTTGTTGACAGTTATATATTTAACTGGGAGTTGTTAGAGCACTGAACAATAGAGTTAAGCAATGTGGTTGTGCTTTTTTTCTCTAAATAGAAAAGGAGGACTGCTGTATTATTGTAGAAAATCTGAGAAAGAATTTAAAAGGAAGAAAGTGCTGACTTAAACCTTTTCAACAAAAAAGGAACTGTGTTGGGTGGCTTTACACTAAATACGAAGTATGGCAACAATATAACACATAGCTGATCAAATTCATCCTGAAATATTAGGACTGGGGGGGGGGGTATTTCCTGATGAATGACCTTAAAAGTTTCAACAACTATGTCCCTATTTTTTTTTTTTAATCCTTGCGAAATATGGTGCCTTCATTTGTTACAAATTGGCATTTTGTGGTCTAAAGGCTGTAGCTGGATGTTTTTGATGCATTATGTAGTAGTGTGCCCTATGGTGGTGAATCCCTGCTCTTGCAGTGAGATCATTTATAAAGGGTAAACATAGAAAGTCGCGAAGCCTGTGGCCGCGAGCTTAGTGAAATCAGGTAAAACACAAATGATCACGCTCACCACATAGGTCGATCCATTTTCTCCCGAACGAACCTCCGTCTCGGGGATGGAAAAATGCATTTTCACTCAAACACACACTGCAGTCTGCTGCCCAACGAGAGTTCCTTGAACGCCACCGCAGCTCACGATGGAGAAGAAGACAACCACAGTTTCTCCACGAAGTCCACCACTGCTGCTGCAGTGACTGTCGGCGGTGACTACAGAGGAGGAAAGGGGGGTCTCACACGATACATCCACTGGACTGCAAGTCCAGGGAAAGCGTTGCCAGGCCGGGGGGGGGGAAACTGCTGACGACTTTAAAATCTGCCAGAAAACTCATGTACGAACTAGCACTGGCATTAAAACTTCTCCCACGTCAGTGTCAAACTTTTCTCACTGCCGTTCCCGCAGCAGCCATGTTGCAAGTGTTAAGTAATTATACCTTCACTACTGGCGATGTAATATTCCTTTTGGCACACTTTTAAGTAATACGTGAGCAGTTTAAATCCCCTACTGTCGCATTTGACTTTCAGCGTACACAGGTAGCTCCGTTCATTGGCGTCACCAGATGAAGTTCCCCCGGATAAAAGGTGCAGTTGATTTCTCCAAAACACAGCGTCGCAGAGCCGATGGCAAACCTTTCGAAATAACAGGGTAGACACTTGTACTTGCGTTGGTTTTGCTGGGTTTTTCCTGTCTCCTAGGTTTGTTGAAGAAAAAAATCCGTAAAGTGACGGAGGAAACTCATGGATACAATGTGACAAAATATCAGAGAGAACACGTCGATGTATCATCACCGTTAGACCTGCTGTGTGTTCAGTGCACCCAGCGGCCCATCAAGAGACATTGCAACAATCCCTCTGGGCGAAACCATCTAGCGTTCAGCCAGGGGGGGTGGGGGTGATGCAGTTAGTCCTGTTTAAAAAACAAGACAAATAGCACAAGTCCAGTTTATTTTTCGCACTCGATGATAAAATATGTTCATTAAATGTATTCCACGAGCCACAAAAATGCTTACATCTATTTTTTGGAATCTTTTAAAATCGCTAAAACCCGAAGTGTCCACTTTATTTGGTGAAGACCAATGTTACAGTGAAAGCGTAGTCAAGATTCATTACAATCACAGAAATGCGTACAGCCTACATATCGTAAACATTTGTAGGGAATAAAAAAATCTAAAACATCACCGTTTATGTTGATGCCAATTTGATTTGTACGCTTTATTGCACAAAACAAGACTGCTTGAAGGGTTTTCATACAGAAGGTATTCCTTACATTAAAACCTACAGTCTATGATTAAAAGAGGGCCCTTTCCGAATAGCCACAGTTCAGTATGCAGTACGTACTATTCAGTAGGGAGTTTCAGTATACTGAACATTTCAGTATGCATACTAACTTCCTGGTTTTATGCAGTATGGGTGCTTACAGGAAATGAATTGTATTTTACCACCCACAATGCTGTGCGAAAGTAAACATAAAATCATCACTTCACGTCCGCCTCCAAATCAAAACAAACGAGCGTGGATTAATTTAATACATTTTTAATCTAGAGTTAAAGTCCCGACTGAAATCACTACTTTTAATTAACAACATAAAATATAACAAATGTCTGCATTATTATAAAACCTTTCCCCCCGTCTATTTAAATAATGATTTAACTATTTAAAAGCGTCTTTATTGGTTTATTTTATATTCTGTATATTACTGTCTTTCATTTGTACTTTTCTTTATGTACTGTATGTTATTTACTTATTTAATCTGTCTTTTACTTGATTTACATTGTCATATTGTTTTTTTGTTTACCTGATTGTATATGCGCATTACTCTTCTTAAATAAAGATTAAAAAAAAAAGGGGGTGGATGCGGCCGGTTCCAGAAACGTAAATGACGTCACTTCCTTACTAAATGAATCAGAAGAAGTAGGAACAAATATCTGCCTACTGTGTGTGCATACTGAATAGTAGGTGTCTCAGATTACCTGCAAAATTATTGGTATATAAAACGACATTTCGTACGCTTATAAACCAATAAGTCGTTAAATATAAGTGTCATTTTTTTGTTATTAAAAACAATCGTATTAAATACATTTAATATTTAAAATGTAATGTATGCGTAATTGTAGCGCAGGATGTAGAAAGACTAGCGCAACTTCCTGTCACATGTCCGCTTCAGTAGATCATATGACTTCAGGCGAAGAAAATGAAAGCTTGGTGCAGCCAGCTGAAACCTGCGTTGCTTATTTTGATCTTTAATCTCTGTTTTTACGCAAGTTTTCAGCTGACCGAGCCGCAGGTAGGCCTACGCCTTTCGTTAGCCAACATAACAGCTGTAGTCTTTACATCGACGAGTCAATTAAACACAGTGTAAAATGTCTTGTTTTGATGTTTGTACAGCCATTGCTGGGACTGTTGTTTACAAATGCACTTTTACCTCGTTGTCATGGTTTGTGATCCAGGTATGTGAGCTCTGCGGCGGGGCCGTGCTTAATGGCTCCGTAGTGGGTCAGTTCTGCGCCTCATCAGCCGGTCGGGTACACGGGCGCTGCTGCTTCAGAAATGACAACACAAGTGGCCATGAACACATCATTGGGTAGGATTTTGATGATGCCTTCATGGTTTATCAGAAATGTAGAGTTTATATTTTATGATGTCGGGTAAAATTCAGCCTGGGAACAGAAACATGTGTAAAAGTAAGAGCTATCCAAAACTTAAACATAGGCTACCTATGAATAACTGGATAAAGAAATAAATCCATTATTATTAAGTACATCAACAAAAATGTGATTTTTTTTTTCCCCTGTATATGTAATTTTGTTTAATGACAACAACCTCTGGTCCATTTTAATTGGAGTTGAAAAAGGTTTAAAATAGACACGTAGGCCAGGCCTAGTTTTGTAAATAATGTGACTTTTCTTTTTGTGCAGATTGGATCTGTCCAATTGTTCACTAGCTCGGGTGGAGGATCTGCAGGGGGCGACAGAGGCATTAATGATGTATGTACAGTCAAATCCATTGTAGATTTGGTGAAACTGATGTGATGGAGTGTTACTGATATTTTAAGGATAATAGATATTTGTATAGCGTGAAAATAATGCTGACAGTGTTGATCATGGTGTGTTTTATTCGCTTGACAAACAAACAGAAAAAGATGCGGGGCTGACACGTGTAGTCTTACTTTGACAACTTTGAATTACAGTTTGGTAGACCCAACCCCTCTGGCAAGGACTAAAATCCTCCAACTTAACCTAAAACGATCTAAATAAATAGATCTGGAAATATTCAGTACATCATAAGAGCACTGCTAATATGCAGTGAATGTCTTTTTTACTTTCAATAACCATTTCTCCCAATTTGTTTATATACATTTTTCCTTTGCAGAGACCTCTCACTGAATCCCATAATCAACATCAGTGACACAGTCTTTCAAGGATTCAGTGAGTTAAATTATGTGTAAGTATTATGTGTAATAACATTTAAAAAAAATTAAGTAAGATGCTCCGGTATTTTTAAAGTCATTTTAACTCTTTAATTTTTGGGTCATTATAGGATTTTGCCACAAAAAATAGATTGTCCTGGAGGCAACTCCTCCTGGGAAAAGGTCGAGGTTAAAGCGGGAAATCGTCTTTGTGAAGGCCAGAAGGATATGTGCAATCAAACTGGACAGCTGTGTAAGTTTCCATCTCGTCATTCTTCCACTGGGACATAAATCTCAATTTACTACAGTGGCCTTCTGGTGATATGTGACATCTGTTTATCTTACAATTGTTGACGACCCACAGCCAGTGAATGCCCGGAGAACTCCCTGTGTGCCCCCTACGGCCCTGGCTTCTTCCAGTGCAGCTGTGCTGACAACTATCATGGGTACAAGTGTCTCAGAGAGGTCGGCTCTGTTCTAATCATTCACTTTATTCTGCACATTGCTAAGTTAAATATATTGGTGCACTTGGATCTTTTAATAATTTAAAGTCATATTTTTTATTTTTCTCTTGATTAGGGGACGTTCCCAACTCTGCAGGTGTTCGGGCCTCTTGTAGCATCGACCGTTGTGCTCTCTCTCCTGCTGTGGGTCACCCAGAGGCGGAAAGTCAAGCCACTCTAAAGGTTGAACTGCGGTCAACTTGTTCATGTGCAATGATCGACCTAGCTGAAACTGACTGTTCTGAAAGGGAAAACTGACACAAAGTGTGGTATACCCCCAGGTTTCTATTCATTATTGTACTTTTAGTTTACTTGAACACCTTCTGGTTGGGTAGCTATACGTTTTATTTTGGACATTTAAAAAAAACGAATGACTGCGTTTTCAGGGCATTTTAGAAAATAAATGATTATTAACATGTTACCCCAAGTTTTGAATTGTTTATATTTATTGATTAAAATAGTATTTTAAACGCAGTGAACTGAGGCAAGATATTAATGAAGTTTTGTTTCAGATCATTCTGAAGATTTTCTTAACGTTTACTGTGCCAAATATGCACTGAATATGTCTGAATTCACACAATGGAACTTGAATGTACTTTTCCACATTTAAGGAAACTTGGTACAATTTGGCGAGTTGTGTATTGCATGTTTAACATGTACAAAGGAAAAATGAAGTCAGGTTCTCTACATGTAAATCACTGAAAACTGATGTTCAACTTGGATCTATGTTTTAATCTTTTACATTAAGTTACATTCAAATAAGTTTGACGAAAAGGGAAAAATTGAGTTGAACTACGCAAGTAAAGAGGAGTCGTTGTCACCGACTGTTTCTAGCTTGTTTTCACTTGTTGTTACACTCCACAATCTGCTGTGATGTATGTCCTTGTCATTTTATTCTTCATTTATCTTTTACCTTGGTAACTTGGCAAACGTTTTGATGTTGATACGTTTGCAGTTCATTTACCTCTTCCCAATAACATTGAGAGAGGTCATGTGAAATGGGAAACACAAAACACATTCCTGTTTTGCTTGACCTTCATTTGAACGCTTTTATGGACTTGAAAACTGAATCAATAAGAACTAATGCATCGACTGCTGGCTGACTACTGTTACAGAAAACACTCGGTGTGTAGCTGTGGATAAAACCCGGCCCTCTCCAAGTTTAGTTTCCCCTCTTCTGTTGTCATTTGTGCCAAAATGAAATTCAAAGTATGTAAGTATCATCATGTGTGGACTTTTTGATCAAAACAATAAATGAGCTGAGCTCTTTTGCAAAAAAAAAAGTTTTACAATCTGTGTCACACTTCCTTTATTCCATTCAATGGATCAGGTCATTCACTGGAGGAATTTAAGTGGAGGTCACAGTTATTACGTAACTATTTCTGGCTCATTTGAAATTGCATGTTGTGGTTGATGCAGGGAGAGTGTTGTTAGCTGCAATTACATTTTATCCTCTAAATAATGGCAATTAAATAGTCTGTAACAAGGATAGTTCATGACAAGGATCTATTGAGGCATCTTGCCATCTAGTAAATATATAAAACTCAATCAACAAGGGTGATACACCTCTGTAATTTAGGAATTTTTCCCATAAATACACACATGGACTCTGTTTAAAAAGCTTATGCCATTTCAGATATATATTTATTGCATGCTAAAAGCACGATATTTTGTGTTGTGTGCAGACATCCAAGCGCAAGAACTCCAGGCTGCAGCGGGAGGTCGTTCACTGGTCCACGTTTTTGACTCGCAGCACAACAGGCACCGAAGTGCACGGGATCATTCCTAGATCTGTGATGACTAGGTCCACAAAATCAGGCGGCGTCACGTCATACACCAGGTTCAACAGGCCGAGTAAGGGCACCTCCTGCCAGTGCTCTAGCTGGGTCTTCCCTTTCCGTGTCACGATGAGGTCATCGGGGTCATCTGGAAAGCACAGATGATGATGAACTTTTGAAGTGATACAGTTAAACACTAGCCCATTTCAGGGCGCAATATTTACAGCCCATGTGACGTCTCGCCTTCAACATGAATGTCACAGAGGCGTAATGTGCGTATCAATATGAAAGAAAAGACCTAATCTGGCAGAGCATCATTAGGGCACTGTTGTAGAATCGCAATCTGAAAAAGGCTACAGAGACACTCTTAAGATATAAAAAAAAAAAACAAGCTACGTCATTTTTAGCCCTTACCTAGTTCATTGGACACAAAGGAGTCTGTCTGCACCCTCTCGCAAAACTTGTAAGTCTCACAACACACCAGCACAGGCACGTTAAAGGTTTTGGCCACCAGAGCTATTTGCGACGTCCCCACACGAGACATGACGTAGCCGTTGGCCAACAGGGCGTGAGCACCGAGGAACACCTTTGATACCTATGAGATCAATGTTCAAGGCATTATTACAACATTTACAAATAAAAACCAGGGAGTAAAAAAAGTGCAGGAATTTAACTTAAACTTATTTGAGTTAAAAACAATACAACGTGTGCTTCTGTTTTGGGAAATGTGAACACCTAGTTACCTCTGGAAGGATGTAGGAGACAGCTGATATGAGGACATAGGTGCAGCTGATGCCTCTCTGGACCAGACGCCTCAGAGCCTCCCGGCCCTCCAGCCGAGGTCTGCTGTCAACCACGATGACACGGAACTTCCTGTCCTTCTCAAAGGCCTCGCACAAAATGTGGTTGACCAGTGATGAGCTGAGCAGAGGGAGATCGCGGCGGAGAAAAAAGGGAAACAGAAGTTTTAAGGGAGGTTAAAAGTAGGACTTGCGGCCTGAATATGCAAGTTATGCATTTATTTAGCACGACAAACAATCACACTATGACTAGTAACAGAAAGCTGCAGAATCTGAAACTAACCAAAAACAAGGAACACAGATATTTTCATGATATTTTTCCTGGCTTACCATCCGTAAACTAGGATGACATCCCCATCACTGATCTTTTCTATGGAGTACTTGGCAATAGCTTTAGCAGCAAGGACGATCTTCTCATTAATGTAGCACTCGATACAGTTCAGCAGTTTGCGTTTAGCCTTAACAGACAGAGAGGAAATGTGTGAGGGTGAGAAAAAAAAAAAAGGGTCAATCAATTCTATTGGATGAATAGAATCAGTTAGCTTCCACATGTTATGACTTCTGGCTAAATTATGAAAGACAAAGTTGGATAATAACCTCTTCTTCTTTGCACTGACTGGGGATATTTGAGATCTCTTTTTTGATGTATTTGATTGCATTACCCATGCTGGCTGACAGAGGGCGACATTGATTCAGAAAACTGCAAAAAAAAAAAAGGATGACAAAAAAAGGTTATTTTATCTGTAGTATTGTTCAATTTCCAATCTTTTATGAACCTAAAATTAGGAGAACAGATTATAATAGAAAAGAACTTAAACATGAATAACACTGCAGCAGTTTTTTGTACCTGATATATGGTTTCAGTTTGTTGACCAAGTCTCTTGACAGCTCTTCATTTGGAGGTGTAGTATAGTCCCTTATGACCTGAGCAGAAAGAAACTTTACTTTTTAGAACTTTAAACACATCCAAAATGTCACATAAAAGTCAAGCGCACACTAGAGAGTGCAATATCTGATCACACTGTGGTGATGTTGATGGTTGCTAAAAAAAAAAGTCAACCTTTTTTTCTGTCTGTATTCGCTCCGCCATGGCACCTACTCTAAAGCAGAGGCTAAAAAGGTTCCTCTAAACAGGGTTCTAGGAACTAAAATTCATAGTTCCTGCGGTGCAGAATGAAGAGGAGGAGAGTTTCAACAGTTCCTCGAACTATGAGGAAGTTCCTGCGGTCCAAAAAAAAAACGCCTATAGTTTTTGATCAATGAAAACTGTGGAGTAATTTCAAACAACTTGACGACAACTAAACCTTGAGCATTATATCCAATACTTTGAACGGTCATGAAACATAGCAGTTTAGCTTTTTTCATTCTGGAGTGTCAAAAAACAGCTTCCATGTTTGACGAGGTGGAAGAGGTGAGAAAGAACATACTGTAGATAATAAAGGGAAACCTTCCTGAAAATGTACGCGGCTGCTCCCACAGCAACCCTACTGATTATTATTTTATTATTATTTTTATTGCAGTTTATATTAAAAACATCCTTAGTTTAGACATGAGTATCATGGTAATGCTGTTTATACGCTCAAAAGTATTTTTATACTTGAAACTAAGTTCCCCCAGAGTGCTTATAAGTTAACATGTAAACAGAAGCAGGATGTGTCGTTGCAAACAAAGCATGTCGTGAACTGACAAGAGTTTTTCAATAATATGGAATGATCATCTGTTTTTATCACAACAGTTACATGAATACAACCTTTAAGGCAATATCTACAATATTCACAATATCTGTTAACATCTTCCACTGTCATTACAGAAACACTTCAACGTGTAAAACCTTGACTTGTTGTTGTTGCTGTGTTATGTATATCACAAATAATATGCTGTGCTGTGTACCTGTTTGAAGGCATGCAGCAGGGCGACGGAGCGTGCGTTGGATCCTGCAACTATTCCCTGTGAATACTGGAGACCCAGCCGAACAATCACAGGATGAATGACTGTGGAGGGAATGCTGCAACAGACAAAATTTGAGATTAAAGGTAATCTTATGAGATTCAGTGGAATGAATCAAACTCTGCTCAGCCAACACAAGCCACCTAACTGCACTCTGCACAATTTGTCAGTTTACCCGAGTTGCTGTGTTAGAGGGGCTTTACGACTGTACTGGTGGAGATGAGAAAACAGGCTGACTTTGTATCCGTAGTCTGACCGGAGAGGGATCTGTAACAAAACAGATGAGATTCCACTGCCATTAATAACAAGTCACTCATAAGAAAGCTGAGATTATGAGGAAAGGAAAGCATACATCAGACACACAGCAAAGGCAAAAAAAACAAAAAGCAGATAAGTCTGAAAGTAAAAGTTAAGGGCTAAGAGTGATGGAGGAATTCTTATATTACTAATCTGAGGCTGCTCTGAAATAAACATCAGAAAGTTGTTCACATTAAAAAACAAATGTTGTAAACTCTCTCCAAACACAAACAGCGCAGAAAGGGATTCAAACATAAACCAGCACAGCAACCAGCACAGTGTTTCAAAACAGAATCAAACAACTCCTCAAACAGACACATCCCATCGAAGCCCCGCTTCTGTCTCAAAGAACTAAAACCAGTCGATGAGCATCCTGAACCCTCGAGTGATGTTGCATCAACAAGTTAGTAAACAGAACAAAATAAGATAAATCTAAATGGCACACTTAAGAATATGACCTTGGCCTTTGACTCAGCATTGTACCCTGGTGTCTGAAAGAAATGTGAGTACAAGTATATGCAGTTAGAGGACTTGTGGTTAAGTGAGGATTCAATGGTTCAAAAGCCCACTATTCTTTGTAGCACTATTAAAGCATGGTA